TAAACACTTATGAAGGTGCCAGTGGCACGCAAGACCAGAAATAATGAATTAGATTTTAATTATGCTAATTTATTAGAATTTCTGCTCACACTGGGCAGACGATTAAAATTAAAGGGAAAAGTAAATAGTGCTTAATTCTTTAATTTTGCTGTCAAAAGGTTACATTGAAGCATTTTTTTAAAAAAAGCAATACATAGTAAATAGTGGAGGTAAGTCAAACACATCTTTTTTTCCTGTTTTGTAAGGCTGGCTTAAACCAAGGCATAATAAGAATAACTTGGAAGCAGGTTCTTTGTATTAAAATGATCTTCCTGTGTTCTACATCAGTTGCTGCATATAACAATAATTCCCAAGATAAGAGGCCCTAGTTGTTCTTAGAACTACAATTCCTAAAAACCATGGCCATTGGCTATGCTGGCGAAGGCATCTGAGTATTAACGTCCAATAGCATCCTAGTACAAACTTGCCAATGGTTCTCAAATTCTCCATGTTTGAGAACCATTGGCATGGAGGCTTCTCCTCTGTTCCATTTCAGGAAGCTAAAAAGTGGAGCATTTAGAGAGATTAAATAGCAGAAGAGAAGGAAGACAAGATGAGTGGCTTTAGTTAGGCAGTTGAAAATGGAGATTTCACCATCATGCAGCCATTCCTTCTCTGTCCTAAGCTCAGCACTGGCTAGGAGAAGGATAAAAATAATGGACAGTAATTTTCAACTTCTTTCTGATGAGACTTTTGCCACACTCTTGTAAAGTGAGCATCAGTATGGCATTCACAGGGTCTCTTAAAAATTTGCTCGGTCCAATATAAAGCTGCATGTTAACTGTTTTCTACTAGTGTTCCAATCATTGGAAATTCAACACTTCACAGTGCACATTTTTGAGACATTGTTGGGCCTTACTGCTTTGTGTGTGTTTTTGGTGTTGCTTTTGTTTACCATTTTTAATGTGGCGTTTATTTGATCATCCTTAGTACTTTGTCTACTTACTGTTTTTTGCTTTAAATTTTGTCTTTTAATGCTGTAATCTGCCATGGGTTCCTTTTTAAGGAGAAAGATGGGCTAAAAAATATTTTAAATAAATAAATAAATAAATAAATAAATAAATAAATAAAGATTGATTATATTCTCTGCAGCCAAAGATGGAGAAGCTCTATACAGTCAGCAAAAACAAGACCTGGAGCTGACTGCGGTTCTGATCATCAGCTTCTCATAGCAAAATTCAAGCTTAGACTGAAGAGATTAGGAAAAACCACTGGGCCACTCAGGTATAATCTAAACCAAATCCCTTATGAATACACAGTGGAAGTAAAGAACAGATTTAAGGAACTAGATTTGGTGGACAGAGTGCCTGAAGAACTTTGGATAGAGGCTCGTAACATTGTCCAGGAGGCAGCAACGAAAACCATCCCCAAGAAAAGGAAATGCAAGAAAGCAAAGTGGCTGTCCAACGAGGCCTTAGAAATAGCAGAGAGGAGAAGGGAAGCAAAATGCAAGGGAGATAGGGAAAGTTACAGAAAATTGAATGCAGACTTCCAGAGAATAGCAAGGAGAGACAAGAGGGCCTTCTTAAATGAACAATGCAAAGAAATAGAGGAAGATAACAGAAAAGGAAAGACCAGAGATCTGTTCAGGAAAATTGGAGATATTAGAGGAACATTTTGCGCAAAGATGAACATGATAAAAGACAAAAATGGGAGGGACCTAACAGAAGCAGAAGACGTCAAGACGAGGTGGCAAGAATACACAGAGGAATTATATCAGAAAGATTTGGATATCCCGGACAACGCAGACAATGTAGTTGCTGACCTTGAGCCAGACATCCTGGAGAGTGAAGTCAAGTGGGCCTTAGAAAGCCTGGCTAACAACAAGGCCAGTGGAGGTGATGGCATTCCAGTTGAACTATTTAAAATCTTGAAAGATGATGCTGTTAAGGTGCTACATTCAATATGCCAGCAAGTTTGGAAAACTCAACAGTGGCCAGAGGATTGGAAAAGATCAGTCTACATCCCAATCCCAAAGAAAGGCAGTGCCAAAGAATGCTCCAACTACCGTACAATTGCACTCATTTCGCACGCTAGCAAGGTTATGCTCAAAATCCTGCAAGGTAGGCTTCAGCAGTATGTGGACCGAGAACTCCCAGAAGTACAAGCTGGATTCCGAAGAGGCAGAGGAACTCGAGACCAAATTGCTAACTTGCGCTGGATTATGGAGAAAGCCAGAGAGTTCCAGAAAAATATCTACTTCTGCTTCATTGACTATGCGAAAGCCTTTGACTGTGTGGACCACAGCAAACTATGGCAAGTTCTTAAAGAAATGGGAGTGCCTGACCACTTTATCTGTCTCCTGAGAAACCTATATGTGGGACAGGAAGCAACAGTTAGAACTGGTCATGGAACAACTGAGTGGTTCAAAATTGGGAAAGGAGTACGGCAAGGCTGTATATTGTCCCCCAGCTTGTTTAACTTATATGCAGAATACATCATGTGGAAGGCTGGACTGGAAGAAACCCAAGCCGGAATTAAGATTGCCGGAAGAAATATCAACAACCTCCGATATGCAGATGATACCACTCTGATGGCAGAAAGTGAGGAGGAATTAAAGAACCTTGTAATGAGGGTGAAAGAGGAGAGTGCAAAAAATGGTCTGAAACTCAACATCAAAAAAACTAAGATCATGGCCACTGGTCCCATCACCTCCTGGGAAATAGAAGGGGAAGATATGGAGGCAGTGTCAAATTTTATCTTCCTGGGCTCCATGATTACTTCAGATGGAGACAGCAGCCCTGAAATTAAAAGGCGCCTTCTTCTTGGGAGGAAAGCGATGACAAATCTTGACAGCATCTTGAAAAGCAGAGACATCACCTTGCCAACAAAAGTCCGAATAGTCAAAGCTATGGTTTTTCCTGTCGTGATGTATGGAAGTGAGAGCTGGACCATAAAGAAAGCAGACCACCGAAGAATTGATGCCTTTGAACTGTGGTGCTGGAGGAGGCTCTTGAGAATCCCCTGGACTGCAAGGAGAACAAACCTATCAGTTCTAAAGGAAATCAACCCTGAATGCTCACTTGAAGGACAGATCCTGAAGCTGAGGCTCCAGTACTTTGGCCATCTCATGAGAAGAAAAGAGTCCTTGGAAAAAACCTTGATGTTAGGAAGGTGTGATGGCAAGAGGAGAAGGGGACGACCGAGGATGAGATGGCTGGACAGTGTCGGCGAAGCAACCAACATGAACCTGACACAACTCCGGGAGGCAGTAGAAGACAGGAGGGCCTGGCGTGCTCTGGTCCATGGGGTCACGAAGAGTCGGACACGACTAAACGACTAAACACACAAACACAGAGATCCCCAGGTTTGTACATGATTTGCATTATGGTTACTGGGTGAAGAGAGACGTGAGAACAGCTTGGGTGTGGCTCTCTCTGTGCCAAAATATTTTGAAGGGCTGTTTTGAACTTGGTGAAGCAAAGGTGTAAGCAATGCATTAATGAAATAGAGTAAACTTTTACTAATTTCAATGTATCTTCCTGATGTAAAAGGGGTAGTGCATCATTGGTGTGTATGCAGAGCACTCCCTTGTGGAGGAGTTGCCACTTCCTGGACGCATTAGGCATGTACCAGAGAGCATGAAGGGTATGGGATCAATAGTCTTATTCCTTCTGACTCTGCTTCTCCATGTTTTTTCTTCAAGGAAAAATAGATCTTCCAGTTCCACTGATGGTGTAGTTTCTGCTCTCTTCCAGGTGTCTCTCAAATACAGTTTTGCTGTGACTTATAACCATAACAAGGTAGAGAAGTGTAATCCTCCCACTAAAGCGTTAGCTATACCAAAATGAAGATGTGGAATGGACTTGAAATGTAACACTGTAGTGTTACATTTTTACTCTTAAGAAGGTGTTTTATGGGCATTGTACATTTGTCAAACGCAAGGGAGCTTTAGAACCAACAGATTCCAAACCTGCTCTAATCGACTCTACCCTAAAGTGCCACCTTTTGTCTTTCATGTCTGTGGAGCAGCCACAGTAATTGAGATTTTCAGACCCGGTCATGTGTGGAATTCATGGCTCCAGGACACCCTCCTAGGAATCAAAAGTCTGAATCCTTCAATAGTTTGCTTCTTTATATTCCGCCTTTAAAAACAAGCTTTCTTGCACCAGCTGGTACATGAAAGAAAAGAACATTAAACACTGAACAGGTCAACATAAAACGTTAACAACACAATTCAATGCAACAGCACAAAATATTTTCAACCTGGATGTCATTGCTAGGCAGGGAACTGCAGGACTTTGGTGGCCAGTGTTAAAAAGTCCTTCAGCTCCAGTAGGTAAGGTAGGCAGATTAGGCTAAAGCTCTGTAGCTGGAAAAACTAGGTATCAGAGTCAAGAGTTTTTCTAGCCTCGTTTTCTTTGATGACGTGCAGTCTTCTGTGTATTGGAGACAGGGAATATTGTTCAAGTGAGAATTCAGACCTTGAAATTCCTTTCTTGGGAGTAAGTTTTGGTGAACCTTCCTTCTACATAAATAAGATTAAGTCACAAGACTTGGCTATATAGTACAGTAACTACATATTGCTACATAACTATATATTGTATATAGTTATGGCACAACTATAAGCATAGTTGTATCAGAGCCAGAGGAGTTCTGATCCACAGAGGTTTATGCCCAGATGCATGGATTAAATTGTCTTAATTGACAGGCTTCTAAAGCAAAAAAAAAGCAAATAGTGCTGCTTATATACCGCCCCATAGTGCTTCGAGCACTCTCTGGGCGGTTTATAAGTTAATTATTCAGGCTACACATTGCCCCCCCCCAGCAAGCTGGGTACTCATTTTACCGACCTCGGAAGGATAGAAGGCTGAGTCAACCTTGAGCCGACTACCTGGGATTGAACCCCAGGTCGTGAGCACAGTTTTGGCTGCAGTACAGCGGTTTAACCACTGCGCCACGAGGCTCTACTTCTGTTCGTTCTTATGCACTGCATAATAAGCATGCTTTCTTATTCTTAGGTTCCTATATACCTGAAGGCTTGATGATATCTTGTACTTGGGATTATGTGACCTATTCTCCAGCAAACAGAAGTTATACCATGATGTTATGCTGCTGTGTGTTTTTTATCCCACTGGTCATCATCTTCCATTGCTATCTATTCATGTTTCTGGCTATAAGAAATACTGGCAGGTAAGCAGAACATTGAAATAATAGTATATTCTTCATATATAAACTGTTAGGACCTCAGTACATTGCAGAATGCCTGCTTCCAGCAGAGAATGCCTGTCCTACCCACACATTCCAGGCTAGATGACTGGGGGCCGAGACTCAGAGGGAGAAAAGTAAGAGCCATGCTTTCTCAGCTGTTAGAATGAGCTTTCACCTGAAATCTGCCTGGCCCCCTCTCTGGTAACCCTTAAGAACTCTCTCAAAGCCTTATTTTGGCAAGCTTTTCAAAATATGACATCTAAGTTAACCACTCAGAGTTTCAGCCTATCATTTTTAACTGCTGCCTGTTTTTAAATGCAGTATAAAGTTAACTTTAATTTCACTCTTGATTATGTTTTTGTTATTTTTTGTTATTGTTATTTTATGGCTTTTGTAAACCACCCAGAGTGACCACTGGATAACCTCACACATATACACAAAATAACTTGTGTTGTTTGAAACACAAGGGTTCTTTCCAAGAGTCTCTGGATATATGATAATAGCCAGTTGTGCCTCTTAGAGATTTCTAGGGTCATAATTGGCCATTTTAATTGCTAAATATATTTCTTTATTATAAAATGTTTTAAATTGATATCCACAAAGAATAAAACAACTAAAAATAATCCACATATACACTTACTGTGCATATATGTACATATATGCACATATATGTACATATATGTACATACTGTGCACATATGTACATATATGCTTACTATGCATATGTGTACATGCTGTGCATATATGTATATATGCTTACTATGCATATATGTAAATATATTTATGAAATATATTTTGCAATTACTGTATATATATGCACAGTAAATATATTTCTTTCACTGTGTGGTGTTTTTTGCTTTGTTTTGTTGCAAGGGGAAGTCTTCCTTTCACCCCAATGGTGTAATAGGTTTTGGGAACTTCCACACTTCATTGTGAGTGTAGATGACAAAGTTCCACTTTGGACATTACAAATCAGGTTATATTTTCTGTCCATCTCAACACAAAAATCCTGAGGTGTTTTTAGTGTAAAGTACCATGTGGTGGAGGATGAGACCAGTCTATTTTTAAAAATAGGGGGAAAACAGAATGGAAATCAGAGAACGTGTGTATTAATTCTATCTCCATTTCCAAAGTGTTGTGCCATTCTCTGTTATGTTTATTACTAGTAATGCTGACACATATCCATGCAAGTCTGGTGTAAGGTTTTGCCAGCATCCTGGGCACAACGCCCTCTGGTAGTTCCATCCAGAGAGCTTACCAGAGGGCAGATGGGGACAGGCAGTGGACTGCAAAGAGGGTGGGTGGCAGTACTGAAATCATCAGAGCTCCAGATGCTTGATATTTTCTCAGCTTAGTATTGAAAAGAGAAGGGCTGAGTGAATTAATGCAGTTTATTCCATAAAGATCAAGGAGACAGCATATATTGCGGAACACAAAAATAGCTCTCTTGAATAACACATTTTAGCATGAGTATTAGGAGACAACCTTCAGTTGAGAAGTACTGCAGGGTGTCATGGTATTGTTCCCTTCCAAAGACAGTCATGCTGCTATCATAGCTTCAACTACTGCTAATACTTATCTCTAATACTTCCAGGCCCCACTCCAACTGCATGTTGTGGGCAGGGATTGGAAGAATGGAAGAAAAGGAAGATAGCACTGGTTTGCAGCTTGCTGACACCAAACTTTTCTTTATAATTCCAGGCCATAGATTAGTCTTTTAAAAGTGCATTGGTTGGGGGAAGCTGATGTTGACTGCAGTGGCGCTTCCATGGAGGGGGGGTATCTTCAACACACATTTGTAGACATTTAACTGCCATAGCGCCATCTGCAAAATGCTCCTGTTTGTAGATTGGTATGTTGTTGAGACTCTTCTGCTATAGATACCTCACCAAATTTCAGGAGTCCTTAGTATCAAGTCATGGCAGTTAAAGTATATGGAATTATTGTAGCTCTGTAGGGTAGCTATGTGCCTAGTATTCAGTATTTGCCCCACCAGGTAATATACTGGCATGGCTAAAGGAGTTTTTAATAATCGAGACCTCTCTCTCTCTCTTTCTCTCTCAGGAATGTTCAGAAATTGGGATCAACATATAACCGGAAATCCTCTGTCTCACAATCTATAAAGAGTGAATGGAAGTTGGCAAAAATTGCCTTTGTGTCCATTGTTGTGTTTGTCCTATCATGGTCTCCATATGCTTGTGTTACTCTCATTGCATGGGCTGGGTAAGTGGTATGCCACAAAATGATGGCATCTTAATTAAAAACAAAAAAATAGAGAAGGAGCAAAATAAATATAGATCCCCTGAAGAACGTATTTTTGCTTGCTCTGTGCATGAGGCTTGATTTGAATATTTACGTCCTGAAAATTTGTGCCATTTACATCTACTGATTGCCAGGATTATGAGATAATCAACATTTTTGTGTTCACTGGCTGGGTTAATAGTACCAATGACATCTTAGAAGCTCATTACCAAGTGTTAAAAGAGCTGTTGTGATTTCATTTGGTCCCATCCAAACACTCTCGTTCCCACACTTTGTCCACCTCCCATTCCAGCCACCAGGTATGCTGTGTATATATATGTATATACTTTTGGCTCAAATTTTGTCCTTCTTGTATTTAAAAAAGTAGATTACAACCCACCAAAGCTCACACTGAAATAAAATTCATAGTCATAAGGGTCACAATACTTCTGTTTTTGTTGAAGCTTATTTGTAACCAGCAGTATCAGCTGCAAGCAGTAACATCTATCGGCAGAGCTAAAAGCAACACCAAATTAACCTTCACATTGTGTGCTTCCCAGTTAAGGGGACTCTTGGGAGGTACCATTAAAAATACCTGTATCTGTCCAGTTTTCCTCAATCAATTTGTTTGGGTGGGGAAAACAGAACAGAAGAAGAGATGAGGAAACACAGGACTGTTAGAAGCCAAAGAAGATACTATCTGAATTCCATGAATGAAGACCGTGAAATTACATGACTATGTTTGGAATCATCCAGTTTGCATTTCTGTGTAACCACATTGTTGTGATTCAGAATCACAATACTGAAGTACTGTTGCCTAGTATTTTTGTTTGGGCCTGGCAGTGTCCATGAAATTGACACTAAACAGAATATAGTGTAATGAAGGGCACTCAAAATGGCAAGAGTTGCTGGTGAAAAGCAGCTGATCAGATCTCTACAATCTGATCTCCCATCTCTCAGTTATTGTTTCTTAGAAATCCTGAAGTTTGACCTCGGAAGAATTACTTTATGAAATTTGCTTTCTTCCCCCCAGACCGAAGGTATTTATCAGAGCAGTGGAGCCTTGCATCAACTAGAGGAGTTTCAAACAGTGTGTGTGTGTCTGTTATGTTTAGCTGATGAAAGATTTGTTTCTAAAATATTTTCCCCTACTTCTCACTTATAGCTATGCCAGGACTTTAACTCCATATTCTAAATCTGTGCCTGCTGTTATCGCCAAAGCTTCTGCAATCTACAATCCCATAATCTATGCAATTATTCATCCAAGATACAGGTACAGTGAGTGCACCATCATGATAATTATTGTATGTAGAGATACTAACTTATACTGACCTGGTCTGGGTTTTTTAGGTTTGTGAGATGTTCGTGGAATAGTTTATCATTGCTGTTCCCCCCACTCATAGCTGACTGAGGATTTGAACCGAGGTCTCCTGAACCCTGATCCAACACTCTATCCACAACACCACATTGGATCTCACATAGGGAGGTATAGATGGTTTTAAAGTAAATTTATTTTCAGATGGCGAAGAGAATGACTTGGCTTGGATCACTTCACTTGAATATTCCCTTGAGTTCCTGTATTCTTGAGCTACGAATTGGCAGTCCCTGCCCATCTCTAGCTATGATTTCCTGAACAATCAGACTGACTGAGTTATAACTAAAATGGTTTGTGTTCTTCTAACTATAATCCTAATAATAACAGGTCATACACGTTTAGATTTCATACCTTTTTTGTAGCATCTCCTTGTCATCGGTGTCCTTGAAATAGTAAAAAAAATAATGAGTTACATAATAGCAAATCATATTATGTGACATCAAGTTGTTCACCAACATCTGCTAGCCCTATGAATTGATGGCTGAAATCCCACTGCTTAGCATTCTAATTTGCAACTACATTAGGCCCATTAAATCAGTGGAGATCTGCTGAATCAACACCACTGTAAGTTCCATTTATTTAGTGTGTCTACTCTAGTTCCAACTTACTACACTAGATTAGGCATCCTTCAGTCTCGAGAGACTATGGTAACGTGCCCTATATGGAGGACTTGGAACAGTGTCTAGTGTGGCTGAGAAGGCCAATTCTAGAGTGACAGTCCCTTCCACACTGAAGACAAATATAATCTGTCCCCTGTCCAGCTCCCTCATTTTGCTGCTTTTGAGACTGCTTCTTTGCCTTGGCGTACTGGACAAGGGTCTCTCCAAAATGGGAGAGGCTGTGATGCACCGCCTGCCTCCAGGCTGAACACTAAGATGTCAAGGTTTCCCATCTGTTGAGGTCCATTCCCAAGGCCTTCAGATCCTGCTTGCAGATATCTTTGTATCGTAGGTTTCCCTGCACTAATTCTCCATACAGGAGATCTTTTGGAATCCGACCATCAGCCATTCTCACGACATGCCCAAGCCAACGTAGACGTCGCAGTTTCAGTAATGTATATATGCTAAAAATTCCAGCTCATTCTACGACTACTCTATTTGGAACTTTGTCTTGCCAGGTGATGCCAAAAATCCGTCGGAGGCAACGCATATGGAACGTGTTCAGCTTCCTCTCCTGCTGTGCATGAAGGGTCCAGGATTCACTGCAGTACAGGAGTGTGCTCAGGACACAGGCTCTATAGACCTGGATCTTTGCTACCTAATAGTGTGGAGTTACTACAGCAAGCAACAGGATTTTAGCCAATGACCTCTGAAATTCTTTGCTTGGCTGTTGCAGATTAAACACCATAGTGTTCTTTATTTAGTCAGTCCATCTCATGTTAGGTTGCATTGTGTAGCGTTGACATTAAAAAGAAAGTGCATAAATATGCACTAGTAGCAACACAGAGCTCTGATCATTGCTCTGTGCTAATTATACCTGAATGTTATAATTCTGTGGAACATTGTAGCTGATGAAAGATACAGTGCTTTTTCCTTGGGTATAATTCATTCTGTTTGGTATCAACTACGTATATTAATCTCAAATCCTGAACACATTCATTTCCTTTTTGTATCAGATTTATCTCAGAACCTTTTTTTCATTTGAAATAAAAACAATCATGAACACATAACATAGTGTAGGATAGATTCTGTTTCCCATCAGGCTTGAATGGTGTGAAAAGTAATAGATTGTCTTCTTTACTGTCAATTTCTTTTTATTCTTTCTCCTTATATTACTTTTGTTATTGCCGTAATAGAAATAAGAAAGAATTTTCAGTATTGTCAGCGATAGTAGAATATTTTTGCAATAAGCTTGTTTTTGCTTCTAGCTTTTAAAAATTAGTCTAGATTCTTTGCATATTTAACACCACTTCGCCCTGCCTTTCATTTTTAATAGAAAGAATAACATTCTATAATAGGAGAGAATTGCTGGCTGGATAGCGCAGTGGTTTAGTTATCTAGTTGTTGAGGCAGAGGTTAGCAGTTCAGTTCCTCACATTGCCTCCTGCGAGTAGAGCCAGCCTGTGTGGCCTTTGGCAAACTGCACATTCCCAGGGCAGCCTCAGAAGAAGGGAATGGTAAACCACTTTTGAGTATTCTCTACCTGGAAAGCCATGAAAAGGGGTCACCATAAATCAGAACAGGCTTGATAGCACATGATGATGATGATGATGATGATGATGATGATGATGATGATGATGATGATGATGATGATGATGTCGACAATGACAATAGAAGCTGAGAAAGAGAGTAAAGGAAAGAAACATACATAGAGATATTTTCAGCTAATTTTAAGAAAATATTTCTGGCAAATAGCAAGGTTACACACTATGCACAAATAATTGTATTAAAGCATGCATGACTGTCTTGGACTAAAAATAATGAAGTACCTCCAAGACTAATAAATCTTATTTGGCATGACCTTCCATAGCCCACGTGCATCTGAAGAGGTGAGTTGTGCCCACAAAAACTCATACTAATGAAGGCTTGTTAGTTTTAAAAGTACCATGGGATTTGTCCTGAGTTCAGCCAAAGATCCAGAACCTGAGGAGTTAACTATAGCTGAGGAGAATGCTGAGTGATTAGAAGCACAGACAGCTGAATTGCCACCAGATTCTCCTCCCCCAGTAGCCATGACAAGGATGAAACACACCAGCAATGATAATAAACTATTGTCACTGCCCATCAATTTGGGAAGGGTTATACGGCCATTTCCAAGCAATTTAAAGTCCATCGTTCTACAATAGGGAAGATTATTTAGAAGTGGAAAACATTTATCCTATTTTCCCAAAAATAAGACAGGGTCTTATATTAATTTTTGCTCCAAAAAAACACATTAGGACTTATTTTCAGGGGATGTTTTATTTTCTTCATGTACAACAATCTACATTTATTCAAATACAGTCATGCCATCTTCTTCTCATTGCTGCACAAGGGTGGAGGGTGGGGTTTCACTTAACTGGGGCATACTTTCGGAGTAGGGCTTATATTATGAGCATTTGGTTTTGAAAAGGAAAATGCACAGATTTGCTCTTTTTTTGACTCTTCTAAAATGTGCTTCCAGAATACTCCATGTTTTCTGAGGCATTCTAAAGGCTATGGTCCAAAGAAGTAACTTTTCCCATCTCTAAAATGCTGCACAATTTTTAAGGAAAGAAAAGGACCTGTCACTCCATCATTAAGTGGCAGCATAAACAATCAGTGTGAGTTTTTAAAGTTTTGTGAGCAAATAGATAAGGAACCACAGCATTGAATTATACATAGAAATATGGCTTTTTAAAAAAGTATTTACTTGCTTTGGGAAATTGTTCCCATAGCAAGGGCAGTGTGAAGCATGGGAACTGAGTTTATTTTTTACTTCACCTTGAGTATCCGCTTGTGTAAATAAATATGAACGTTTGCTCCCATGTCATCCATGAACATCCATGTGCACAACAAATGTAATGAGTTGAGGAGGGTGATGTGTTTAGGATTTTTTGAACTACAGATTCCATAATTCTCTTTTCTGGGGGTCCCACGTACAGAACCCAGACATTACATGCACCTAAATTGTGGTCATCTGGAGACAAGGCTCAGCTGGCAGGCCTGCCTTGGATAGGTATAAGATCCTGTTTGAAAAAGATGCTTTTCTGGTGATTACTGGGAAACTTCCTTTTCAGACAAGGCTAGGTCTTTTCAAGGCATGAA